TCTAATTCTTTGAAAATGAAAACGGGAACACGGAAACAAAAGTTATTTGTCTTATTCAGCGAAACAACCTGAAAGAAAATTATTCTGCTTTCGTAGTTCAACATAAACATTCTTTGTTTTCTATTCAACTTCTAAACTTTTAAAAGCCTTCAGGCCACTTCCCTTGGAAGCACAGCTAACGAAACGCATCAACTCACGAAGCAAGCGGCTAAATCTTGTTAATAATGGAATGGCATGGCGTCTGTGTTCAAAGTCTGAATTTTAATAGACGCAGGCAGTGTTCAAATGCGAAACGGAAATCAAGCAAACACGTTTATTCGTAACACGGTAAACGGTAAACTCACGGTAAACATGGTAAATACCAACGACCGCCAAAAAAATTTCACTCGAAAAAACTCAAAACTTTCAAATCCTCTAGAAGAAACTAAGCAAAAAAAAAGGCCTCTTGATTTGTCGACGACATTTTAACTTAAAAATCTCAAAGCGAGCGCGCGCGAGTCGCTCGCGCATAAATTCGGTAACGTCTTCTTAACAGGCAGGTTTAGCAATTAACCACCAAAATGACTCTTGGAGAAATAACTAGTGACAAAAACATTTATCTATTCATATCTTAAAATTTCTGCATCTCCAAATTCTCAGGAGCCAGACGTAAAAGTGGACGATTCCTATACATGCATGAAAAACAAAAGAATAAAACCATCACGCCACTGAACTCTGCCAAGTTCTGATCATACCAAAACGTCTTCATGAATAAAACGGACAATCTTAAGAGTCAACAGAAGCTCGTAGAAGAGAAAAGGATGGAAATCTCGTTTTCGATTCGGGTTTTTGCTTGAGGCTTTTTCTAATTAAAATTATCAAACTGTTTAATTGTTGTAGAAAATTAGAAAACTATTACCAAACGCAGACACTATGAATGAACGAAACGAAGTCCTGTCATTGCGAAAGCATCTGGAAGGATGTTGATAGAGTTTCGGTCATTTTAATTTCGTTTTGGGTATCGAAAATACCGTTCATTTACAATTCGTATAGTTTTATATCAAGCTTACGTCTGGTGTCTTGCCTCTGTAATACACGATTTTATCTACATGCAGTGCATTACAAATACACTGTCTTGAAAAGTTCATAATTACCTATTTACTTTAATTCCGGTATCTATATGCATATCAGATTCTATTATTAAGACTTGTCATTTTTTTTTTTATCAAGAAGAAAGGCGCGTGCATGAGCGAACGCCCTGTGAACGGAAAGCAATAGCGTCCTCGCAAGCACTTTTTTCTCGTGCAAACCTCTCGCTGACTCGCAAAATTAGAGTTAATTCGCTGTCTAAAAGTTTTTTTTGTCGTCGCCTGTCGCAAATATACCTTAAATTTAGGAGAGCCTGAAAGATTTCTTGCATCACACAACCTGATTGAGTTGATTTTGTTCTCCTCCGATGCCACGTTTCCGTAACAAACCGATGAATGCAACATGTCAACAATCTTGAGCACTGCACGCCTATTAGGAAAGAGAGATAGTTTATTGCCAAAAAAGTAAAAATACTTCGCAGCCATAGGCTGAATTGCATACTTTTCAAAATTATGTATAAATTTATATATGAGATTATATAAAACTACAACATTTACAAAAAATTCTAAGACCTAAGATAATTACAATTACACAGCAATGGAATAAAACGCAGTCGATGCTAACACCCTAGATTAGCCCTCACGCACATAGCTGTAGTGAATGATGACTTGAAACGATCAGTGCGGAAGCGCGGCATGTTAAAAACGCGCTGGCGTCTTGTGTTGTACGCTAAATGATGTCTTAGGAAGGCTGAAAGCCGGCATTTAGTTTAAAGAAGTTTTTTAAGTGAAGGGCATTCTGCACGGAAGACCTTCGGACTCAGCAAGGCGCCCATGCACAACTTCCAAGAGTATTTCTGTCGTTAAGAAGGCGATTGGAACCATGTTAGCCATCGCAGCCAGAAAGTGTCTTTTCCATCTTTTTCGCCAAACGGCCATAACTGCAACATTCTGAAAGCGAGTCTCGATGGCCAAGGATGCTTCGGTGAAAAGCCACTCAATGACCAGCGCAACTGAGGTATGTACTGCAAATTCCTGCAGCAGTTTCTTTTCACACCCTTTAACTGGTAAGGTCGAAAAAGAAAGAGTATTCCGACAAAAAAACCACATGTAAAGAAAGGCAACAGATATAAGGGCAGTCAATGTTCTGATCCACTGTATTTTAACTGGGATTGTCTCTTTGGGCTGAAATTGACAGTTCAGTCCTGTTTCGTTGGAGGTGTAAGAGATCGTGATGTAAAGAATACCAAGGATGGCAGGAGCTAAGAGTGAGATCAAGGCGCCGATGTACATTGATTGACGAACTGTCCGAAGAGCGGATGGTCTGAAGCGCTCCATCTTGCTGTTCGTCTTCACTCTCATCTCGTGAGCTCGCGTTAAGGAGCTGATATCTGACTCGCAAATTACCTACTGACAAGAGATTATGCTCGTCCTCCTTTGGTGGTGAATATTCCTGATAAATAGGTTTATCAACCGGCTGACAATTCCACTCTCGACCCTCTCTGCTTAAGTTATCGTCATATCCAAAAGTCTCCACTTCTGGTTCATCAGGGTTGCAGTGCTCTGTCACGCCGCGTGTGAAGCTGAATACAACACGAGAAAATACTTCAATCAACAAATTGTCCGTCATTGTTCGCATTAATTGGCTCGATACCGAAAGAACATGTTTCGATATTTTGAAAGTAGAAACTCAACAAGGGGAAACCATACTTCAGCTTCATCTGCATGAGAATGGACTACTCCACATGTTCATTGGAAATTGAAGAGAAAAAGTGTCGACGATCAATACTATTAACTATATATTTTTTTATCGTGTGACTGATATCAGGCGTGGCGTAATATTTTCTTTTCTTTGAGGTTTAGCGCATTGTTCTTTAATATCCCTTACTGATTGTAGCTCTAAAAGTGAAAATACTTCACCTTATTGAACAAATAAAGTACCAAGGAATTTCTGCCTTAATTTAAAGTCAAGAAGGTTGACCTTACGGCAAACACTTCTTCAATGACTTCAGGATACGTTCTTTAAGAATCATTCTCGTAAAATATATCTTCGAATTCTTTTATCATTACGGAACTTCACATCCTTCTTTTCGTGGGCTTAAGAGTTCAAATAGTTTCCTATTTGACCACTAATGGAAATGGTTAGAAAGGTTCTTGCCAAATAGTTTCGAAAGCCAAATGATATCAAATGACCCTTGCATGAATTAAAAACTTCCCAAGCAGAAACGCCGAGTCGAAAATAGGCTCTCGGTTAAAAAATATTTTTTACTCTAAGCTACGGACCAATTTTTTTTTTTCGCTAGGATTTACAGACCAAGCGCGAGACTTACACAAACGAACTGAATCTTGCTAAGGTATGCAACTGTTTAATTGCCGTAGAAAACTAGGACACTCAGTGGCAAACGCTGGAACCATTAATGAAGGAAGCGAAGTCCCGTCATTATCTAAGCACATGAAAGGATATTTTGACATAGCAAATTGCTGCTTATTGAACAAAACTGAAATAAAAAGCAATGGGTTCACCTTACTGTAGGCTCTGTACATTGTAAAATGTTCGCCTTACTCGCTCAATCAGTAATGGTAACTATGAATAATGCATCTAAACTCAGAAAGAATAAATATCATATCTCGAGTACCAAATAGGGCGATTATCACTGACAAAAACGCCCGTTATGGCAGCCTAACTTGAAATTCACAGATAGACATTGGGAAAGCTACAGTTTAAATCGTCGTGACTTTGATTTCGTAAATGTTCACCGAGCATTACTGAAGCATGCAGTCAACTCTAGAAACTTCCGTTTGTTGTTACCCTGAAGTCCAATGGAAGCTTTTCATTAATCTTTTCACTGTCCACCCCTAGATTAAAAAATTCTCCTAGTTCTCTGCTGCAGTTAACAAGATTTCAGCTCTGACAATTTTGTTGTTAAATCAAACGAGTTCCTCTATTAACATTCTTTCAATTATTGACCGAAAGCTTATTTTCGATTCGGTATTTGCGCCAAGGGGTTTTCTTCAACCCATGCAAAAGAATCATTTAAGTGCTCATTTGCTAGAATTAAGCGCTAAACCATTGACAGAGAGCTTATTTTGGATTCGGTATTAGCACCAAGGGTTGTTTTTTTGTTTTGTTTTTTTTTTTTTTCACCCACCGGAAAGAATTAAGTACTCATTTGACAATATGTTGTAGAGCCGTTCCAGTTCTCATGGACAAGTGGAAAATAATTTGCATGCGTAAGCACCATGCAACGAGGAAATGAAGTTCCGTCATGATCTCTATGCCAAATATATCAGTGTTTTTTTTTCCTTTGAAACTTATTATTACAAAAGAGGTCATCGATAAATGTTTCCCTTAAAGAACAAAGTTGGCGTATAAGGTCACTTGATACAGTTCTTTATTTTTATTTACTTCCAGAGCTACCGGCATATTCACTGATCGATATTGAAGAACAATGCGCTTGATCATCAGAGAGAACAAGAGAATAAATACCGCTGATACCATACCGAGTACAAAGTCCATTAATATTAATATTAATATTAATTAATATTAATATTAATATTGAAGAACAATGCGCTTGATCATCAGAGAGAACAAGAGAATAAATACCGCTGATACCATACCGAGTACAAAGTCCATTAATATTAATATTAATATTAATTAATATTAATATTAATATTGAAGAACAATGCGCTTGATCATCAGAGAGAACAAGAGAATAAATACCGCTGATACCATACCGAGTACAAAGTCCATTGTTGAAATTACATCTGACAAAACTTTATGAAAATATCCGTGTAAAAACTGAATAATCGACGCATATTGAATATTCACATAGCACATTGGGGTACTGAATTCTTAAAAACTTGACATGTTTCCGTGAAATGTAAATGAGGCATTTTATACCTGATCCCTTGACAGGGTTTAAGTGTGGTCTTCGCTTTGTGAGCACTTCCTCTTTCAAAACATCAAACTTGAAAACTGGAGCTTATTCGAAACTCGTTCATTCGATGACTGTTGATTCGATGAGCGTTCATTCGATGACGATCAGAAGTATTCCCTCGACTTCTATTAAACGCGATAATGAATGGAAGTTTCCTGCTTGAAGCTTTTGGTCGTATTGCAATCAGCTTCACAAGCGGCGTGACAGAGCATTACAGCGCTGGTGAACCTGAAGTAGAGATCTTTGGATATGACAATACCTTTAGCAGAGAGGGTCGAGAGTGGAATTGTCATCCCGTTGATAAACCCATATATCAGGAATATTCACTGCCATCGGACAACGAGTATGATCTCTTGTCAGTAGGTAATTTTCGAGTTAAATATCGGCTCATAGACGCGAGCTCACCAGATGAGAGTAAAGACGAACAGCAAGATGGAAATGACGATATGGCTTGGAAGCGATTCAGACCATCCGCTCTTCGCACTGTTTGTCAATCAATGTACATCGGCGCCTTGATTTCACTGTTAACTCCTGCAATCATCGGCCTACTGAACATCATGATTTCTTACCTCTCCTACGAAACCACACGCAACTGCGAATTTCAGCCAAAGAAGACAATCCCTGTTAAAATACAGTGGATCAGAACATTGTCTGACGTAGTAGGTGTTGCCTTTCTTTACATGTGGTTCTTTGTGGGAATGCTCTTTCTTTTTCGACCTTATCAGCTGAAGGGCGTCAAAAGGAAACTCACTCTTGTTGCTTTTGTCCTGTTTTGTGTAGATACACTTTATCGTGTTTTCCTTCAAGTCTTTCGATTATCTCATTCGCAGCTTTCTGTGTCTCAGAAGATTCCTCTCAACGTGTTATTTGTAAGTAGTATATGTTGCCAAGTTTATCTTGTAGCAAATCACTTTCGGAACCTGTCGGGTAGAGCGAGTTTATTTTTAAAACTGACGACAGCAAGCTGCTTCCCTTTCCTTCTTGCCATCTTCATAGCATCGTTTATTTATCCAATGTACAACAAACAAACTGAGCATGGAAAACTCCTGATTGCGTTCTTCTCGCCTCTCTTTGGAGCTATCTTTAAGGTACTCTTACGACTTTGCATTCAGCGCTTGAAGAGAATTGCTCATCCCGGATATTCGTTCATCTTACTATTGCCGTTGTATTTTGGATCAGCGGTCATGTTTCGAGTAATGCAGGCAGGACTTGACAATCTCAAGTTCATCGCTGTTCTAGGAATACTCCACGGTGCGGTAGAAGTTCTGGAACGAAGCACAATGGTCTTCATCGATCATATTTGTCATGTGATCTGGAAAAGACAGTCAAGTTCTTGGGGTAGTTTTCGCACTCCTCGCCGTGAGAGACTAATGGCCGATATCACTATTATAAGCATGCTCGGTGAATCAACTGCTATTGTGTCTGTAAACGGATTTTTGTACTTATATCAATTCATTTACTTACAAAACATTCCACTTTTAAAAGTTCTGCAGGAATTTGTAATTCATACCTCAGTTGCGCTGGTTATTGAGTGGTTTTTCACCAGCTTATCTTTAGCCATCGCGACTCGCTTTCAGAACATAGCAGTTATGGCCGTTTGGCGAAAAATGTGGAAAAGACACATTTTGGCTGCGATGGCTAATATGGTTCCAGTGGCCATCTGGACGACAGCAAATCTCTTGAAAGTTGTTCATGGGTTCTTTGATGAGTTTAAAAGTCACCCTTGCAAGATGCCCTTCACATAGAAACTTAATATTGGCAGTCCTTTAGCCTTCCTTATGTTAATCGGCTTGTGGTGCTGGAAATGGTTGACATGTTACATTTACCGGTTTGTTACGAAAACGTGACGTTGGAGAGAAGAAAGTAAACTCGCTCAGCCTGTGGAAGGCAAGAAATCTTTCATGCGACAGGGGACGTCAGAAATCTTATAGGCAACGAAAAGTTGTTATCGGCGTACTGGCGGGGGTCTTGGCACGAAGCTTTCAAGGGCATCATCCTTCTTTTCATACCTCATTCTAATATGTACATACCGTGTAGATACAGAAACTGAGGTGCATTTATAATTGTTGCGCAGCGAGCGTAACGAGCGAGCAGCGACTTAATCAGGAATTAAGAAAATATACAAATTAAAGGGGATCTGAATTCTCGAACTCATTACTTTTTACCAATATGCATTGCACTTAGCCTGAGTGCACTACGCCACTTTATACCAGAGTGCATTACGGGTCGTAGGTCGTATTTCGAAGCCTTCCAAAGATTTGGATGGCGTTTAGTGTATTGCTCTACATAGCGTTACTACTGTAAAGACATTTACAGGAGACATTTACACCAGACAGCCACTTGCTAAAATCACAATGGATGGCATAACTGTTAGACACTGTCATTACTCCACAATCTCCCGTTCGGAATCTGGGTGTGAAGTTAGATTCTAACCTATCAATGGGTGATCTCATAACGAAAACAAGCTCTGCAACATTCTATTATTTGTATAATATCAGGAGGATAAGGAAGTACCTTAGCAAAAAATGTACTGAAACTCTGATACATGCCTTTACTTCTAGCCGCCTTGACTATTGTAATAGCCTCTTATACGGCTTACCAGCGTATCAGATTCAAAAACTGCAAAGAGACCAGAACTCTGCTGCACGTCTTGTATATGAAGAAAGTAAATTTTGTCATATTACACCATTGCTGAGAGCCCCACACTGGTTGCCTGTAGCATATCGAATTGTTTTTAAAATTTTATTGTTAACTTTTAAGGCCATTCACAAACTTGCTCCGACTTACATTTCCGATCTTGTATCTCTGAAAGACACAGGGGGTAGGTACTATCTTAGATCAAATGATGGCTAACTTCTTAACATTCCACCATGCAAGTCTCTTTCCACGCTTGGTGATCGATCTTTTTACATGGCTGCCCCTAAATTATGGAACGATCTTCCCCTTTTTATTAGAAATATATCTTCAGTTAATGCTTTCAAGAAGGCTCTTAAAACTCATTTATTCCAGAAGGCGTTTCCTAGCTAATTTATTGTTTTTATTCTTTTCATAAAGAAGGATTTGTGTATAAGACTTTAAAGATTAATTAGTTATTGTAAATAAGACTTTTTGTAAATTGTAATATGTTTAGGATTTCAGGATTTTGTTGAGTCAATGTAATGCGCAGATGAAAATGTTTTACTCTGGATTGATATTTGCGCAATACAAATCAATGAATATTATTATTATTATTATTATTATTATATTATATTATATTATTTCCTTTACGTACTCATTCGTTTTTCAAATCTACTTTCCTAAGTAAAGGTAAATTAACCAATCGCGAGTATTGTATGGTAAATCTACTGTCTTGTTACTGAATGAAGGACAGTTGAACTAGAGCAAGGAAAAGAGTCACTTGATCAATGAATAACTCTACCTTGCGTGAAGTGACACGCCGGTAACCCGGAAGCAATAGGCAATCGACTGTCAAAAAGGTGTTGATGGGCCTGTGCGACTCTTGTTATTCGCTAGTGCTTAAAGTTTAGCTCTTACTGGGATATCTCAGTAGGAATTCCTCTCAGTGCAATGTGATAATAAGTTTCGAGATATCATTTCCCCATCTGTATGTCCTTGGGGTTTGGCAAAGCTGGATGAGATTGTCTTACAAAAGGCAATACCTTCTTTCTAGGTATCTTCCATTAACTACGACGTCCCCCCCACCCCCCTTAAAAAAATTTTTCATGGACGCAATCCAGTGCTCGGACAGAATATAATTTGTATGGAACTGAGGGGTGCTCTTTTAAGTAAGATTTAAAAATCTTACTTTTGGAAACACCTCACGATTTGACACTGCTTTTAAGGAATAAAGGTTAATGTAAGTCTTGGAACGCGCAGCTAGATGAATCACTGTGTAACTGTCACTATCAGCAGATTGTGCCGCAGCATTGCTATCTTATAGATACCCTAGTTCTAAACTTTTTAAGACAGTAGTGACATTTAGCACCAGGGTTTTCAGCGGAAACCTCCAACGGCAAACCGGTGCAGGTCACGTGATAAAGCCCTGCGGCCACGTTCGGAGTTCTCTACGCGCGTTTTCAACGCCAAGAGGTAGGTTTTCACGTAAGTGATTGACTTGAACGTTTTTTATCTTGAATTTGTTTTTATGCCTCGTACAAATCAGAAAGTTATGTAAACCAGTCTTTTTAGAACAAGTTTAGATAAATTTTTTAGCGAATGAGTGAAAATAGGACTTATTGTTGCCATTTGAAAATCAAACACTGCTGTTCAGTTTCTAGAAATTCAATATGTCGGCCTCTTCAATATCATGGAGAAGTGTAGCTAAAGCGGTAGAAGCGATAAAAGTCATACGCCAAACGCCTAACCTGAAACTGCCGTTTCAGGTTTGCCGTTAATACGAAAACCCTGGTACTATATGTCTCTAGTGTATTTGGAGCGTACCGTTTCTTAGTAAAATAATTTACTGTTCAGCAGTCACACCCTTCACAAGATCATTAAGTTGATAAGAAAAACAGAATTAACACTCGCGAGATTCTTAAAATTAACTAACTGAACTTCACACTTGAGTATAATTTCTGAGCGAATTTACTATCCGATGCACTCGTGCAAGATTTCAATGCAGTGAACTAAACCCCCGTTTCAGAGCTTTAGGATCGAACAGAATTCTTTTCCATGTTCCGCCTATCATGTATTCCGGAAAAAATCGACTTTAACTGTTCTGTTCTAATATTTAAACTATTCACCAGACTTGGTTCGAGGCGGCTTTGGTCGACTTTTGCACTCTAAGTACAACTGCTGGTGCGCAGTGAAAGATCCCGCACTTCATTCCTAGGGGCAGGGTGAGGGTAAGAAGCGAGAGGTCATTATCGACTTTATTGTGTTTAGTTGTTGTTTGGTAGTTGATGTCAGGAAAGCAAAGGATATCGTGTATTGGCGGGGATTTACATTGGCGAAGTAAACCCTTGAACGTCCACAATAACAATTTACAACCCCTGAAAAAAAGCATCGTTCTGTAAATATGGAATTTAACACCAAAAATATGCAAGGAACTTAGGACTGGTTTTCCCTTCTCACTTTAATTATCAACAATAACCCAGGGTTATATAGTACTGTTATAATATTTCGATCGATGTGATGTTTGGTAAACGGAACAAAAGTTTCCACCGGAGACTAGTGAGTGATTTACAAACTTTTCCTGTGTTTCATACAGTCTGTTGAGTTATCAGCCCGGGAGAGTGCGGTTTATTACTTTTAGATAACAGCTTTGATTAATTGATGCAGAAGATATGTTTTTACAAATCATACTGTGTGCCGTACCTGGTAATTTTTTAAAAGGAAATAATAAAACTCTTTGCTTTGGCTCTTTCCGAGTTTCACGATTCCCATACATTTGTATAATTCTTTCTAAGAATAACGAAACACAACACAGGATAATTGCGCGAATCTGTCAATTTTTTTTCCTACTTGGATCCTTTTTTCCAGATACGTATAACTCAAAGACGATGGGCACATACACATGCGCACTCTCAAGAAAACGGCATTTTGCAAGGATGATTAGTTTCATTGAAACGTCCGTGTAAAATTTCTATGATATATCCGCCGGATCACACTGCTAAGGGAACTGCATTGATAATTGCCACAAGTATATGTCTTTTCCATCTTTTCCGCCAAACAGCCATGACAGCCATGTTCTGATAGTGAGTTTCTATCGCGAAAGATATGCTGGTAAAAAAAACACTCAATCACCAGCAAAATTGATGTTCGGATGGCAAACGACTGAAGCAAATTTAAAAAGGATTCATTTTCCGTATAAATAAGTTGGTACAAGAGGAAAACACCATTTACAGACACGAGGCAAATTGACTCATACAACATGCTCGTGATGGCGACATCAGCCATTAGCCTCTCACGGCGAGGAGTGCGAAAACTTCCCCAAGGAGCTGATTTTCTTTTTCAAATTACATGGCAGAAGTGATCGATGATAACCATCATGCTTCTTTCCAATACTTCTGCAACGCCGTGAATTACTCCAAGAGTCGCCATGGATTGTAAACTGTCTAAATCGGCTTGCAAAACTCGAAACATCACCGCTGAGCCAAAATACAGCGGCGCCAGCAACACATAAGAATATCCCGGATGCATGGACAGGAATAAAAACGCATACGCATGCGTGCCGTAGGCTTGTTGATGTTATCGTCGGCAGCGTTCGATCAATGAAATGTCAGCGCAGTTTAAACTGTGTATTCATGGATATATTTTGCCTTTCAGACTGGAATGTAAGGACGCTATTTGAAAATAACTTCTGTAAACTGAACTCGTCGACATGTTGAACGTATTCTTTTTTGGGAAATGTTTATTTGTTTACTCAAGAGCCAGCTTTCAGTACTCGGTAAGGAAACACATAGCAAGCTTAATTTCTTTGAGTATAATTTACCTCTATTTTAGATAATAAGCTAAGATTCAAACTGATAGAAGGTAAATAATACCATGCTTTGGTAGTGAATGTGAATCGCGAATGAAAATGCAACTTTTTACCAAGGCGAAGCGGAAGCACACCCACCCTACACGGTGTTACAGGAACAAATCAAAAACGCTGCAAAATATCGCGTTACCCCATGCATATCGCTCTCAGTGGAACTTAACATTCGTTACAGTCCTAAGAGTGTATTGGAAATTAGTTATTTCCATATGGTATGAGAGGAGCTCCTATGAATGCTGCCACTCAGCAAAAGCCACATGAAATCCATTGTTCTCGTAGATGTGCTATCAAAAAGAA